GCTACCTCTTCGTTGTACTCGATTGCGATGCTATACAAGTAGGCGACATTCGATACAGTAATTCCTTGCTTTATCATCCAAATGCAATGCTTCTTGAGATTGCTCTCGCAGTAAGCGTTGGCCAAATCCAAAAGTTCTGCAACGAAAGACGTTGCTTCAATCATGAATGTACTCAGGTCGATAACTGCTCAGGATGTACCCGACTTACCTAATGCCTTCTCCATGGGTAAATCGATCACGTCGGTGTACAAGTATTTCAGGAAAGCTTTGTAGACAACGTAGGAAAACTGATCATGCTCGATGACACTGTCGGAACAGAAGAACAAAAATGAGTAAAACTTTTTAAAAATGAGAAATTTTTAACATAAATAATGCAGCTTTTCTTAAATGATTACCTTTGATTATTTTCTGCCCAATCATGTTGAAACATGGTTCTAAAGTATGAAGAGCGAATTTTCAGAATAGCCTTGTGCACGTGGATACATTGTCCCTCCACTTGTATCTTGAGATCACTTGTAGACTATCATAAAAGAAGACAAAAATCATTAGCGGCAAATGTGTACAATATTAGCTTAACACATAAAATATTTGTCACATTTATCAGCTAGAATCCAGTATAAAATGTATTACACAGTTTGATTTGTCAATCAAACAGCTCATTCTTAGTTTTAGGTTTTTTTTCGTTAGAAAGAAGTTTCTTGAAATTTCTTTTAAAAATATTCGAGCTAGTAACATTATATTTAAAATAAGATTTAATAAAAAATGACAAACTTAACTTCAATAAGTGAAAATATTAGTATATATATATATATATATTAGGTGTTGGAATTAATTCGTAGCGTTTTTAATGAAAGAATGTTATTTATTTCACATGAGCATTAAAAAATACATTAATGAAAGTACTTCCCATCACTTGTAAAACGCTACGAATTAATTCCAACACCTAATATATATAATGTATAATAAAAAATTGTAAAGGATAACTCATACAAATTCGAGTCGAAAACTTTATGTGATCCACCACTCGGATTTTAATGAAACTTTGAGTATGTTAAAGATTCATCAAAATAGTCTAAGAAATTTTTGAAACTATTCTTTCAACTTTAATACATCCTGTATCTTTAAAACAAAGTCATTTCGAATATATGACTAACGAAGTTTTCAGTATTCACCCTGTATATGTATTGTTAATAACTATGTACATATAAATAAATTAGATCTACTTATTTCAGTTGCACTTTTCCTCTTATCAATATCGTACATTCATTTCATTGAACATTTAAAAATATGAGAAGGTGCACAACAAGTAGATACAACAATGAACAAGCTACATACGGGATCATCGAATGCAGATCCTAGACATTGCAATATATTCGGTTCTTCGTTCGCATACAGGATCAGTGGTTTATGCATAACGCTCGGTGAGTTGGAAAACGGAGTGGAGGTTGGGGTAGTGATGCTCTGACCACGACAGTGACCCCACATGTAGACACGTCCTCCCTCGCCGACGGCGACGCTTATGTGATTGTAATGCATAGCGGCGATGTCAGATACCCTTCCCATTTCGTGCTCGACCTAATAGTACAATTATTGATGACGTCCTTCTTTTTTTTTCTTTCTTTTTTATTCGTTCTCTATTTTCTTTATGACGATATGAGTATACCATGACTGGTTTGCAGGAATTCGTCTTGTTGCCGATTCCCAACTGGCCATAACTGTTTCCACCCCAGACATAAAGCTTCCCTTCGTCTGTGAGCGCCAGCGTATGAGCGTATCCACAAACCACTTTGACTGAAACGATATCAATTGCTCAGCGATCCCATTTTGTATTCGTCCTTTTCTTTTTTTATTTCTTTAATAAATCGAGACTTACCTATCACAATGCCTCTCAACGAACCGACTTGCCATGGTGACGTCTGATTCGCATAATTACCTATTCCCAATTGGCCGACGCCATTATTGCCAAAACCGTACACCTCACCATTTTCAATGACTACCATGGTAGAGGTCTGGCCGCATGAGATGCAAACAACTTTCTTTCCACCTAAGACGGAGTTCACTTGCCTAGGTGTGACCTGATTTGTGCTGATACTGCTGCCCAGTTGTCCACAATTATTTTGTCCCCAAGCATACACCTAAATCATACCATATACAGCTATTCAGCTCGTAATAACGAAAGATTATCGTCATAATCATCTCGATACTTTACCTCACCATCTTCGGTCAGAGCGATGGAATGGTGACTCCCACAAGCAATGTCGACAACGCGCTTCATGCCTAGACCTTCAAGAATAGGCATGGTCACTAGAATAGGTTTCGTGACAACCTGATTTGACGCTCCAATTCCCAGTTCGCCATAACCATTGTGACCCCAGGCATACACCTATCAAAGATATTGCTATCATTGATTCAAATGCATCACTTGATTTGTCGATTTCATAAAATCTATAGCAAAAAAAAATTTTCAGAATTGTTGTATGCATCAATAATAAACAATTAAGAGGAAAAGTTCTAATGTATTAGGTGTTGGAATTAATTCGTAGCGTTTTTTAATGAAAGAATGTTATTTATTTCACATGAGCATTAAAAAATACATTAATGAAAGTACTTCCCATCACTTGTAAAACGCTACGAATTAATTCCAACACCTAATATATTTTTGTATAAATAAAAAAATTTTATTATTAACTATTTATCTTTAGCTTTACAAGATTATCAGAGTGAATCTTAGTGCTTAATAAATTTAATGAAAATAATCATTAATAAAAAAAAAAGAGTATTCTGAAGAAAATGAATCAGAATTATATATATCCATGGCCAATGATTTGCCCCTTTCATAATAAAGAAAGCCGATTCTGTAACTCTTAACTATAGTCGTTGATATCATTGCGCAGCTTCTTTACTCTATGTATACATAATATTTACGCAACGACTGTCATTAAGAGTTATTAAATCAAAAAGGCTCCTTAATAAAGAAAGTTTAAAAGATATTTATCATGTTTTATCACAAAAATCATATATATAGGAGTAATATATAGAATAAATATATAAATATATGATTCTTGCAGTAGAGGGTAAGCATCTTCCAAACTTACTTTACTAAATCTAATCAGTATAGTTGGTTCTTATATTTAAGATTGTCTCAAATATAATCTTAAAATATCATGAATCAAATTACAGCATTAACATCTTGAGACATACTTAAGACAGTCTTAAAATGAGAATCGACTAAGAATAGAAGCTTAGAAAAGGAAGATTTATTAATCATAGTTGTATATTTCAGAGAGATGAGATGTTACACAGGCTGGTATTCACAGTCAGTTCTCAATTCATGTGATTTTCTTAAGAAATATTTTAGCATGCTAATACAACTAGCTTCAAGATAGATTTACGATGTTTTAAAACTGTACTTAAGGCAGTCTTAAATATAAGAACTGACTATGAATACCAGCTACAGACAACAATTGACTTGTACTCCAAGATATAAAAAAATCTTCGTACTTCTCCTTCTTTTGTGAGTGCTAAAACATGAGGTCCGCTGCCATATGCGAACGTTCTTATGTCTCTTTCGCATAAGGCTTCCACCTTCTTAGGATATAGAGTACCGTGTGTATCCCCGATTCCCAAACAACCAGCGATGTTGTTACCTAGGGCATACATCATCTTGTCTTTCGTCATAATTAAGGCTTCATTACCCAAATTACCTGTTTTGAAATATAAGGATAAACAACACACTGTCAAAGCAAGTACGCTAAGAGAAGAGGATGAATTACCGTATACCACAACCATATGAATCTGCGAAACAAACTCTGACTCCAATAAACTGAAAATCGGCCAGCTACGTAGGTCCGAAGTGCACATATTGCCCTCACAGAATTAAATCACTTTTTTATAAATCTTTCGTTTCGTTTCTTGTTACTCGTTTATAGCTGGTATTCGTATCAAGTGAATTACGATTTTTCATGTCATTTGGGAATCTCAATTATCTTCAAGTTATATCTTTGACATCGCTATTGCCACCAATCGCCACATTCGCCAATAGTGAACAATAGTGGACTATCAACTAGTATATACAGCGCTTTTATTACACTCTGAATATTACTATATCAATAGACAGTAATTTTGTGTTCGGCACTTGTCGGTAAAGCAGCATTCTGTATTATCAACAAAAGATGCAGCTTTTTAATAAGATACGAAGGCTGTGTTCTAAAATTGACTGCCAGTGCTAAAAATCTATAATGCACGTAACGTAGCATTTCAGTAGGTATTTTCTCCAATTGCATAAATAATATATATCTTTAGATATTTTTATGCAAGAATTCTAATTGCCGTAATCGTCAACACAATCTAGTAATACAAGCAAAATTTGTAAGCATACTATATTATAGAAGCATATTTTTCAGTAAAATTAATATTTATGATATATTAAATTAACATATTTTATTCATTTATCTAGAATATACGTTTTAAAATACATTTTCTTTATATTATTTGTACACTTACTCGTAAATTGTGTTATTTTGATATTAAGAAATATTGAATATCAATTATAAAAATATTTAATAATCAATATTAAAAATATTTAAATATCATAATCATATTATATGTGTAAAATTAAAATACTTAAATATATCGAAAATTCAACATAATTTTAACAAAGACTTGAATGGATTGTTTCTGACACAAAATGCAAACACAAAAACGCACATATACATATATAAATTTTTATAATAATTATGTATAATTTAGGATTATTTAGTACCAGAATGTATTTCAACACTTTTTTATTTAAGATATAATTTTTAATAAATAAAAAATGAAAACTAAAAAAATAAAATGAAAAAATGCTTTATTAGAAAATATATAATTTTGTTCTAGAAAAAAAATGTCCAACTTCATCTTATAAAGGCAATAGCATAAACTATAATATAATGTGCTAATAAAAATTGTAATTATAAAAATTATTATAAAATAATAACTATAAATATATAAAATTTTTTGGAAATATTCTGAGTATCCGATTTATCAGCTTGAGCATTTTTAAAACATTTACTTAAATCGATCTAATCTTACGCTAATAATGGCACTATCACAGATATGAGATCGATTTGTCTCAATGAGTGGCGTTTTTCTTTTTTTTTTTATGAGAATTCTAAGTAATCTCAAGTAGTTTTGCAAGATTATAAGATCTTTCTCACACTCTTCAAGATAAACTAAGGAATCTCTCGCGTGAATTATTTATCAGATCGCGCGATACAATTGATACATCTGGATACTTCAGGTCCATTTATTATTTACACGACTGTTATTAAGGAAACAAAACGTTTGGAATATTTCATCAGAATACGCGATTCTATATATATTGTGAGTATTCATGTAGCAACTGACATATTCAGCAATTTTCGTTAATTCTTATCATGGCGCATTGTTTTTAAGGTAGATAGACTTATTACATTTTAAATACACCAGCCTCGCCTGTCTTAATTATAAAAGTTCTTAATATATTTTCATCCAAATTTGCAAAACTTTCCGTCTGCGTCACAGTCGTCATGTGATTAACAGCGAACTTAATGCAAAATTGTTCCAGCTCCTAAAATATTATCAAATTCAATCATTCCATGCGCGTATAAATACAGCAGTTAAATGTTATTAAGCAGTTAAACGTTAATAGTGACAATGTTTAATTACCTCCTCGGAATATTGAACTGCAACGCTGTACAAGTAGGCAACATTCGACACGCTAATTTCTTGCTTTATTATCCGAATGCAGAGCTTCTTGAGATTGCTCTCGCAATAAGAATCAGCCAATTTAAAAAGTTCTATAAAAAGTTCTGAAAGACATTGTTCTAACACTCAGGCCGATAACTGATTTATGGTGTATTCGACTTACCTATCATCTTCTCCACAGGTAAATTGACCATGCCAGTGTATAAGTATTTCAGGAAGGCTTTGTAGACGATGTAGGAAAATTGATCAAGCTTGATAACACTGTCAAAATGAACATTTGATAATTTTTAATATAAATAACAACGATCTTTCGTTAAATAATTACCTTTGATTGTTTTCCGTCCAATCATGTTGAAACATGTTTCTAAAATATGAACAGCGGATCTTCAAAATAGCTTTATGCACAAAAATATTTTGATCTTTCACTTGTATTATGAGATCACTTGTAGTCTATATCAGGACAAAAATTGTTATAGTCAAATGTATGCAATATTAACTGACAATGAGTACACAAAATATTTGTCGCATTTATGAATTAAAATCGAAAACAATGTATTACATAGATTTAAGTATTAATTAAAATGCTCATCACCCTTAGTTTCAGTATTTTTTTCCTTCTAAAAGAAGTTCCTTAAATTTCTGTTACAAAGACTCAAGCTAAGAATTTATTATTGGTGCTTTCCGACAAGAGATAAAGGATGCTTTCATAGGCAAACAAGAAGGATGTAATGATTCACTGTGTTACACTGATTCTGACTGTATTCTTGCTGGAAAGCACTCACAGTACAACACAGTGCCCACGTAGCACGTAATATCACAGTAATATCGCAGTAATATTTCAGAAATATTAGAATATAATATTACAGAAATATTATTGTATTACATTGATAATCAACATTGAAATATCACAGTAATATATTGTCTTAAGTAGTAGAGTGACATTATTATAATTATTGACGTTTTTATGATGTTTTATTAACATTAGAGATATCAATAAGACGTTATTAAAGTATTACAAAATTATATGTACACACACATAATCTTAGAAATAATATTTAGTTTATTATAACTTTTTCAATTAATAATAATATTATATAATAGTCATTGTATTGACAATCAGTATTATTTTTTAATTAATATTCGATGAAATAATTTTTAAAATAACATTAAAAATATAAATTCAATAAATTTTTTTAAAATTCTTTAAATTTAAATTTAAATTTTTTCCAATAAATGGTACATAAATATAAACATTACATAAATATCAAAAATATTTCAGAATATTACAATATTTCTGTGATATATCTCAGTAATATTCCTATGATTCATTTTCACAGACATTGCAATATTATTATGTTCTCTTAATAATATTTCAACGACGTTTCTGCTATATTTCATTGTAACAATGCAATGGAAAAATGATATTGCTGTGATATTACCGTGATATTACGTGTTATATGAATGAACATTTTATTTTTAATTTATATCAGGATAAAGAATAAGACACACATACTTCGTCATCGAATGAATTTTCCAGGCACTCTAATACACTTGGTTCTTCGGCATTATAAAGAATTAGGGGTTCGTGCAGCACGCAAGAGCGTCATATATGTTCGAAAACGTAGTGACAGTTGGAACTGAGATGTTCTGACCGCGGCAGTTACCCCATATGTAGACATATCTTCCCTCGCCGATGGCGAGGCTTATGTGTTGCACAGCCGCAATATCGAATACCTTTCCCATTACATGCTCGACCTGATAATACAAAATATTGATTATATGGACTTTCACTTTTTATTTTTATTTTCTGTGTTCTTTATGATGACAATAAATATGAGTTTACCATGACTGGTTCATAGATCTCTTTCTCACTAAAGCCCAATTGGCCAAAATCATTTCCACCCCAGGAATAAAGATTTCCTTCATCCGTAAGCGCCAGCGTATGCTCTAATCCGCAAGCCACTTTGACTGAAAAAATATCGATTGTTCAATGATATCACTTTTCTTTATCGTTCTTTTATTCTTTTGTTTTATCCAGATAAGAGAATTACCTATTACAGTGCCTTTCAATGATTCAAGCTGGCAAGGCGTCATTCGATCTTCGTCATCACCTACACCCAGCTGGCCAATACAATTATTGCCCCAAGCAAACACCTCGCCATTTTTGACGACTGCCACGGTAAAGGTATCACCGCAAGAGATGCAGATAACCTTCTTCTTAGCCAAGGAATCCACTAGCCTAGGTACGTTTTGATTAATGTTTTTATCGTTACCCACTTGTCCGAATTTATTTTGTCCCCAAACATATACCTAAATCAAACCAAGTAGGTATCTAATATAGCTCGTAATAACGTATATCATTATACTCAAACTTTTGCTTACATCGCCAAACTTGGTCAAAACAACAGAATGATGACACCCACACGCAATGTCCACGATGTTCTCGATAAGGGAATTTTTCAGAATGACACTAAAGTAGGACACTAAAGTAGGCGTGAGAATGACTGAATCACACATTCCGAGTCCCAGTTCGCCGTAAGAGTTGGAACCCCACGAATATACCTTTTGAAGACAATATACTATCAATAATTTTAACATTGTAAAAATACATTGATTTGGCAATGAATATAAATCGAGATAAAATCTCTAATAATTCATCTGATCTGTCAGAAGCATCGATGAAGAAAAATTCAAATGTTCTTTTGTAAAAATATAAGGATGTCAATTATTTATTTTATTCTTAGTTACAAGAATCCAAAAAAACTTAATGCTTAACAAATTCGTATTTAATGAAAATTACGTATTTCAAAGAGAGGATCAGAATTATATTGTATATAACTTCGATAAAAAAAAATAGTATAAAAATGATGATTGATATAAAAAATTCATTCGGAAATCTTTTATCTGCATTGTCATCTATTGATTACTAACACGAGTTTATACACGAGTTTAAATTCTTGAAACAAAGGATAATTTACAATAACAATTGGCAAATGCCATAAATCAATTCTTAAATTAAAACTTTAAATAATAATTAATAAAGCGCTCAATATTTTTGTTGTATATTCTAGAGAAGTAAGATGTTACAAAAATATCAAATTTTTTTTTTCACTTGTGTATGTGTGTGTATTCCAATATCAATTTCCTAACATACTTCTCCTTCCTTCGTAAGTGCGAGAACGTGACCGTTGCCATAAGCAAATGTCTTAATATTCTTCTTGCAAAGAGCCTCCACCTTCCTTGGATACAATGTGGAATCGAAGTTCCCTATTCCCAAACAACCATCGACATTGTTACCCATGGCATACACTATTTTATTCTTCATCACCATCAAGGTCTCTCTACCCATTTCACCTGTTATCAAACAAGATAAGATAAACAATATTGCCAAAAGTACCAAAATGAGTGAATTTTTGACAAGGATGCGTTCATGCTTTGATTCGAGTGATTCATCCTTTTTAATTTTACGAAATTTCTAATGAAACTCGTCGAATATGTCTCGATTGAGTACAGCCTCTTGGCCAGAAATATTACGCACCCTATTTCAATCATTATTTAAAGTTTCAGCTGAAAAATTGATTTATAACATTTGCTGTAAATTATTCTTTGTTTTAAAAACCCTTTAAACTTTTATACAATGCCGGTAACAATGCTAATAGGTGACAATAATTAAAAGTAAAAAATTCCCAATGAGAAAGAACAATAAAAAACATACAAGTGCCTAATATTTTCAATCAATGCTGTATTTATTGACTTCACAAATTTATCATTACTGTTTTGTTACTCTGCTATAATAACGTCTTTCTTATTTTAAAAAGGGGAGACGTGAGCCATTAAGATTGAAAGTTAAAAGTTTAAACAATACGAAAGACGAAAGAAAATAGCGAATTACCGTATACCCAAACCATATGGATCTGCGAAATAAAATCCGGCTCCAGTGAACTAAAAATCGGCCAATTACGTAGATCCGAGATGCAATGGACGCACATATTGCCTCACAAGATTGCTTCAATTCACTCTGATTATCTCTAGTCGCCTCTTCGCGAACGCTTTGTTTCTTTGTTTTGTTCCTTAGTATCTTTCTAATCACGCATTCAAGCGTATTACGACCTTTCGCGTTCAACAGAATGTTTATTTTGCAACTGTTGGAAGTTCTTTAATTCGCTGGGATAGAACTATTACATCAAATTTAAAAATATAATGCAACCAATGGCTGCGTTCAGCAGAACGTTTATTTTGCAACTGTTGGAAGTTTTCTTCGCACTGATTGGGTTATGCTTTTAGATCAAGAGAAATGGTCCTATCTCAGCAGAGAATCATAAAACGATTGTATTCTGCTGAAAACTGTTGTATTCTACTGAACGCAATTAATGTGAAAAAATGTCCAAAAACACTTGCAAAATAAATGCTTGTTTAACAATTATTCTATTACTGCCGATAATTAAAGTGAATAATCAAAAGATCAAATGAGAACGTGCAATAAAAATTATAATCATAATCATTTATATGAATGAAAACATTTAACGGGTTGTCATATTCTCTGCAATTTTCGTTCTTTAGAATAAAGAAAGTTACTGAACATTATACTTAAAAAATTGAAGAAAAAAATACATTAGCTTTGTCTAGATTTTAATTGTAATATAATAAAAAAAAAAATGTTTGAAAAATGAGTTTTTAGTTAAAAATCACAATTTTTCAATTTTTAATTTTTTTTTATAAAAAATTTATGACTATACTCTATAGATATGACACTTTCTGAAAAAATAATGCAACGGTTCTTTCCTCCAAAAAAGGTATTCTGAAAACTAAAAAAACATAATCGTTGAAAAAAAAAGAATATGAAATTATTGTATAAAATATAAAAGATTCATTATTATAATATAACAAAGATATATTAATTAGAGATAGACCTTTAAAATTATTTTAGGTTTAATTTGTAACCATGAGCGATTAAAGTTTTATGTTAATATTTTAAAAAAATTGTAATATAATAATGTACTGTAATATAATAATGTAGTATAAAAACGACAAGGTTTTAGAAAAGCATTCATAGTAACTAAGTATTAGAAAATGTCAAAAAATTTTAATACATTCACAGTCTACAAATATATTCATATTTTCCAAAATTTACTGCAGACATAAAATAAATTACAAATTTCACAGCGACATATAAGCGCGAGCCTGGCATGACAGACAGTGAACTTGTCAATATGCCAAAGGTCTTGGGTTCGATTCTGATAGAAACCAAAATATTTTTACAATTTTATTTTATAGGCATATAATTAATATAAATATACTTTAACATAACATACGAAATGGTAAAATTAACAAACGAAACGTAAATATAAAATTGTATAAACAGTAACTATATAACAATGGCTGTGTTCGAAAATTCATTACCAGAGCTGAAAATCTACATTTTACGTATACTATACATTTCCAGCATGGCAGTGAATTTTAGAACACAGCTAACGTGTGAATACATGTATGAATAAAGTGATGTGTGCGGTAGATTCAAAATGTCCCATACTTAATTAAAATACAGAACCACAAATTAAATAAATAAAAAATATTAATAAATGTATTACTAATGCATGAATGTATTATTAATAAATAAAAAGTAAAAAAGAGAACTGTTGCAATAATTATATCGCCATCGTCCCGGCTGCAACACCTAGCTATAGTAAATTATTATATATCGCGTTCGAAAAATTCGAGAGAATATACACGACACATACGGAAATTCGAATACCAGCTCAGCTCATCGACAGAAAAAAAAAGAACAACATCAAACAATCATGAGACAAACACGAGATAGTTAGGCCGGTGAGTGCAAACAGCGGAATTTAAGTATAAAGCTGATTCTACAATGAGTTGGTAGTCGGAAATCTTAAGGATCGATAAGAGAGACCCGTGGAGACCTCTAGTCGAAGATGAATTTTTTTATACCGAAATTATGGCTAAAAATATTGGATGGATCGCATTTTGCGATATTCATAATCAGCAAAGACTCCTGAAGGCTCGTACAGAGCGATTTTTTTTTGTAAAAAGAGAAAAATAAAAATTTGTTCTGATATCTCACTCGATGTGTATCACAGTGCAGTTGAGGTGTATATGATTTTATTAATAAAAATTTTTAAGAATCAATTTGCAAAATCTGGCTCTGTATGAGCCTTCCCAGCAATATAACAAAGAAATCCCAACAGGTTTCATAAGAAAATATTATTTCTTCGAGAAGAAAAATGAGTATAACTGAGCTAGATCTGCACTTATAAAATGCATATCTTTATACTAAAATTATGACTAAAATGTAACATGAATCGCGTTTTAATAAATCGCGTGATATTTGTAATCAGAAAAGGCTCTTGAAGGCTCGTACAGAACTATTTTTTTTTTGTAAAAAAGGCATAATAAAAATTTGCTCTGATATCTCATCCGATGCATACTATAGTGCAATTAAGGTGTACATAATCTTATTTAAAAAAATTTTCAAGAATCAATTTGCAAAATCCGACTCTATACGAGCCTTTCTAGTAATATAAAAAAGAAATCCCAACAGGTTTCATAAAGAAATAATATTTCTTTGAGAAGAAAAATGAGCATAAGATCACCTAGATCACCAGAACTGCACGTTCTGCTACAGCTGATTGCTAATCATAGGGAAATTCTTCACATTGTGAGTTGAACAAAGAAAGGTAATAGGTTTCCTTGTCTTTTCTAGTGACAAATCTCACCTTCGACTTCTTCGGCGTGCCGAAAGTGGCCGAGAGGAAACTAGACAGCATGAGACATTCTCTTGAAAAAAAACCCTCTTTCGTTCTGTTGCGCTTGATTAACGTATAATAGCAAAAATAATTTCAAAACGCAATAGTTAATTAATTATTTACGATTTTTTATAGGAGTTATATACTGCATTTATAAACACAGTTTGTAAGAATTCCATGTAGTCTTGTGCGTAAGATGCGATCAGTATGCTGGAGATCCTATGTTTTTTTTCCTTTTTTCACATATTTTTTCTGAAATAAAGTTATTAATAAACATATTAGGGCGAGCATATTTTTATATAATTATTGAATTTATTTACTGTACTTTTAATTTTATTACTGTACTATTTATGTGTACTTTTAAAAGTTTTAAACCAACAACCAAAATATAGTCGAACGTTAGAAAAAATATAGAATAAAATTACTAAAGCCATATCAGAGGTTGGACACAATATAAATAAATTAATTTATTAAATCTTCATTATATCAGTGAGTAAAAAGTAGTAAAAAGTCAGTAGTAAACAGTTCAAATGGGACCTACATTTTGTTGAAAAGCGAGAAAAATTAGAATTATGAATTAATTTATAATTACGTTATATGAAGTTAGATGAAATCAATTACTTTATCTCTTTCCCGGCATGCTATTCTTGTTTTACATTTAATAAACAATGAAGACAATGGCATAACAGAAATAGCGATAATGTCTTTCGGAACGCATTCATCAATTTCAATTTCTATTTAAAAGTTGTTTCCTCTGTGAAAATAATTTCAATATCAGGAGAGTGGCTTTCTATCTCAACGCAAATAAGCACATGTAGCGAGATAAAAAACTAATATTTTACAATGAAAGCACAATATAAACTTAAACATTGAATTAATTACTCAACATTTAGGTATATAATATATGAAGAAAATATTGTAAAATTAGTAAATTATTAAAACAGGTTGTAATTAAAAATATTTTTTGCATTAATGCACTAAAAAGTGCATCATTTTTTTGTAACTTACAAATTGTGCAGCATCTGTAGGGTATCCCATATATGGATATCCTACAAATATGGGATATCTCATATCATTTATACCTGGGTACCATATTTGGATATCCAGGCTTATATAACAGGAAGTGCAATTTCTTGCACTGGCGGAGCGAGCACCGGCATAGGGATTGCTGTAAAGAAATAATATTGTATATCATCTGTACATACATTTGATAAATATATTAACATTTTATTTGTGCGTACAAATCAAATAATCAAGTAATATAAATAATATAGATAATGAATATTACAATAATAAAAATGATGAAATCGATAACACTGTCTTGCATGTAGATGAAAATATTGATGCACATCGTTTGCGTTTTATAAAGCTTAATGAACCATCTTTTGTCAATCTGGGATATGTTTTTACTGAATTGCAAAGATCTATTCACGGGATTGGCGAATGTCGTTTTATTGATCTCATAATAACGCAAACGAAGCATTACAATCTCAAAACCCAGTATTTTGTCGAATGTCAGACATGTCATTTCTAAGGTAATTTTTGGAATGAACCGACGACAAAATATTGGATGTCACGTTGCAAGAATCGCATGGACATATTGGTAAAGAAAACGATGTGTCAATACCGCAATGGAAATCGTTACCTAATATAATTTCTGATATGTCAGTAGATACATATGCAGCAACACATTCACGGACAGAAACTGTCTTTAATATTTTGAATGATAGTTCTGTCGGTTCTGTATCAGATGTTCTTGAATTTTGTAGCAATAATTCAACGAACACACATGTATGTACGGATAAGAGAAATGAAATAGCTAATGATACATCAACATTGCAGTCGAAAACAGAATTGAAAATACCGATAAATGAAGACATGATAATCAAAATATTATAAATAATGTAGATAATGTAGATAATGTAGATAATGTAGATAATTTAGATAATATAGATAACGTAGACAATGAATATGATATAATGAATAATGAAGATGACGAAATCGAGAATACTGTCTTGTCTGTAGATCATCAATCTGGGATATATTTTTACTGAATTGCAAAAAATATCTACTCACTGGATTGGCGAATGTCGTTTTATTGATCTTGTAATAATGAAAATGTAACATCACGGTCTCAAAACTCAGTATTTTGTCGAATGTCGAATGTGTCATTTCCAAGATAATTTTTGGAATGACTGAACTGATGACGACAAAATATTGAATATCAATAGAAGTATCGTGTGGTATTATATTGATGACAGGGATTGGTCATAAGCAGCTTGAAGAACTTCTTGCTGCTATGGATATTTCATGCATGAGTATAGAATAAAACGTACATTAATTATCATAATGAAGCTGTCAGAAGCTTTTGCCGCCACTGCAGAAGAAGAAATGCGCACAGCTGGCGAAGAGGAAACGCGTTTGACAATTGAAAGGGGAGATGTAATAGACGGCATTCCGCATATACCTGTAATAACAAATGGCTCGTGGATGAAGAGATTCTATCGCAGTGGTAGTTACGATTCTTCATTCGGTGCAGCTATTATTACGGGATATTTTATTCTCAAAAAGTTTTATTCGTCGGTGTAAGAAACAAATATTGTGGTTTGTGCACGAGCAGCTAAATTATCTTCAACACCAAAAGAATATAGATGCTTTAAAAACAATCAAAGGGAAAACAATCAATGTTCTACCAGTATGGAAAGCAATGTAATTCTTGAAGGTTTCCGATGTAGCTAAGAAATGCATGGATTAATCTATAATAAATATATTGATGATGGAGATAGTAATGTTGCTAAACAAATAAGAGATTTTCCATCAAATATTATTCAAATATTCATTGTGGAGAAGATTGAATGTATGAATCTTTGTAATAAAATACGTGAAGCAGGAAGTAGTGGTGGCAGAAATATTTCAAAAAAAGATCGTAACGAACAGCGTGATGAAAATTCGGAACGCTGTTGTAAAAGACGTCTCATTTCGCCGTAACAGCGAAATACTTTGGCAAGATAAAATTGCAGGATTAATTAAAGATTTACAAAATATACCTAGTCATGTATTTGGTGAGCATAAAGATTGCGTCTCCCTTCAATATTTTTATACAGGAGATTGAAAAGAAGGTGAGGAAAATCTTGTGCTTCAATTACAAAAGGCAGGATTATTTTAAAAAATTGAAATTTCAATGAAACGTATTATAGAGAATGCTGATAGTTTATTATATTAATTTACTAGTAATTCCTGGAAAGTTGCAATGGTATTATTAGTAAAATGATTGGTGGCAAACGTATTCATTTTGCAAGGAGAGGTTCTTACGAGACGCGTGTAAAAGCATCTATAGTATAAATAAATACTTTGCAAGTAGCATTGAATTCTACTTGTCATATTATAGATAAAAAACCACCAGCACGTACACAAATAATCGACCGTCGAAATATGAAAAAAAATGAAGCTTATCATGAACATGTTCGCACGGCAAAAGAATTAGGTATCTCTGTTCGTACATCAAAATATTTTGTTAAAACATTTACGTCCGATAAAGATTACGGAGCAAATGCAGAATTGATAAAGAAGGCTATATGTACGAACAGCTGAAATCTTTACGAAAAGTTAATAGAACAACAATGTGATCGTGCTATATTAGAATATGCTATGCGGGGTCAGCATGAAAACCCGCAGTGGTACAACATACGGCGAAAATTTCTCTCTACTTCAAATTTTGGAAAGGTTTGTAGTAGAAGAGAAACAACTTCATACCAAAATCTTGTAAAAGCAATTCTTTACCCTCCTCGTCTGATAAACGCAGCTGTTGAGTGGGATAAAGAAAAAGAGATTGTGGCACGACAGCAATTGCAGGTAGAGTTGGGAATAGAAAGAAATGATTGTGGATTATTTATTGCAGAATTCCCATATCTTGTTGCCTGACGGAATTATCGGAGATGATATTATTGTTGAGATTAAATGTCCTTAATGCGGCGCGGCAAATGTCTCCTATTGATGCAATGCTCAATATGATTGCAGACATTCATAGAATTTTTGATAAATATAATTTTTGAGAATGGATGACACTGGAATCGAAGACACGCGTACTATTTTCAGGTCCATGTAACAGAAAGAAAGTATTGTGTTTTTGTTGTATGGATGCCCTTTTGGATTAAAGTACACGATTGTCGAGCGTGATGATAAGTTTTGGGAAACAAAAATGTTACCATTGCTGAAACTATTTTACGAGGACTGCTTGGTTCCAGAAATAATCGATAAGTAGAGCGGCAAGAAATATGCCAATTCGGAAACCGTATTATATCATCGAGGCACAGAAAGCAGCTCGGAAAGAATGTCATTGAGCTATTGTTTCAATAATAATAAAATGTATATCTATATATGTATGTATATATGTGTATATATATATATATTTATATGTGTATATGTGTATATAAGTATATATAAATGGATATATAAATGGATATATAAATCTTGTGCACGCATTCTTTGTGTAATAAAATAATAATCTATTTTTTTCTATAATAGCCAATGACATCCTGAGTTGCTTGGGAAAAAGTGGTGCTCAACAAACGAGAATGGATTGAAATTAATCAAAATGGATTCAGATTTTCAGAAATATTGATTTACAAATGTTAAAATGAATGCTTTTCAATCCTGAATGCATTTTTATTCATTTATAGGAATTGCATGAAGCATACCTCTATGCCTTTCAGTCTAAAAATAATATTAGCTTTTTCTGTGCACAACAACACAATTATGAATACTGTTTAATTCAAAATTTTGAATAGAAAATGCAGTTTTTCAATCCAATTGCATCCAATTGAATGTAATTGAATCCAATTAAATCAAATTAAATTCAAAAAAAGTATTCGCTATTTATACATATATATAAAATACGATAGAAAAAAAATTTCAATCCATTTTAATCCATTCTCGTTTACTGAGTAGACATATAAAATGATGTATTGCAAATTAGATCGTAATTTGAACTAAGTGATTGCATTGCAAAGAGTTCATATCAAATAGTTTTTATTTTGTAATACATTATTTTTCAAAATATATGCAGATAATAAGCAGATGAAAATAAAATACATAAAATATTAATTACAAATAATATTAAAAATACATGTGAAAAACACACGTACATATACATGTATACGTGTACATATATATATATATATATATATATATATATATGTAAAATCAAATAACAATATATTGTGCAATACTTTCCGTTATGCAGTTAAAGTCATTTTGCAATGCGATCACTTAACTCAATTTAAATTGCGATCCACGAATTTATGAATTCTGTATAATATATATATATATTAGGTGTTGGAATTAATTCGTAGCGTTTTTTAATGAAAGAATGTTATTTATTTCACATGAGCATTAAAAAATACATTAATGAAAGTACTTCCCATCACTTGTAAAACGCTACGAATTAATTCCAACACCTATATATATATATATATATACACACATGTTATGTGTATAATGTGTAGAAACAATGGCATGTACTACTTCAGCTTTTTTGTTTTTAGAAATATTTAAACATATCTGTATAATAAATAAATACCATTGTTATATGTGTATAATTGCATATGTATAATTATTAATATCCTATAAGATAAGATAATCCAATTTCATTTTACAAACGCATAATAAAATATTAAACATTAGATTAGCAAATGAAAGCAGTGAAAAATTACTAGGAACAGGACGATGTGAGTGATATATGCAAGTGCGCCATTCTCGTCGTAAATCGTCCCTGATTTGGCATCCCTTAAACATTGTCGGTTGTCTAATTATTATATCAATATGTAGTATTAAAATGAAAATTTAACGTTAAACAAATATTATTTTATTAGCCTCAAAAAAATTATCAAGTAATATAGAATAATTTACCGGTAAGTATAGAATAATTTACGGGTAAGTTATTATCAAATTTGGTCATTTTTATCTCTAAATGAAAGTAAAACGGTTTCGAGGGGCATTTAGGTCATGTTATTTTTTTCTAGGTGGAGACGCCAAAAAGATATGAAGGTCATCTCCACTTCTTAAAATGGAATTGTATGACATATTTTTTTATACAATGTGATTCCTTTAATTATAATTATAATTATTCCTCTAATTATAATTATAATTATTCAGCATATAAAAGTATTGAGATAGTGATACAAAAAGAATTAATAGTTTACGAGATATTTTACACTTTATTCTGGTACATATTGACATAAAATTTTAATAATTCGTAAACTATTAACATTTTGATAATCATATCGTAATACTTTTATGAACAGAATAATGAGATGAAAGTTGGTGGAAAGAAATTTATCTAGCATTTTATATCAATATGTGCCAGAATAAAGTATAAAATATCTCATAAATTATTGGTTTTTTGAAATCACTATCTTAATACCTTTATATATAGAATAATTAGAGGAATCATATTGTGTAAAAAAAATCATACAATTCCATTTTAAAAAGTGGAGGCAACTTTTATATCTTTTTGATGCTTGCACCTAGAAAAAAGACAATATGATCAAAATATGTCCCTCGAAACAATTTCACTTCCATTCGAAATATTTTTTTATATCATCAAAAATAAGCGAGATATTTCCGATGGTCGATTTAATAAATCACCCTGTATATAAATGCACAGAAACGCATTGAAGAATTTAAAAACACGAGCGTATCCTGTGTGGAATAGTTATTAATCTTAATCGGTGTTGTTCAATTTGACCACGTAACGATTAGAATCATTCATAACTTAAAGCATTATTTAATATTTTAAAGTTGATATAGGTCATAAAAGCTAATTTCTAATATAAATTACTCGAATCATATTCTAACATCATGAACACAAACCCTAAGTAGATAATATTTATATGATTAACATTGGTCTCAATAACACGAAGGTAAATTTATATTGATTTTCAAAGAAAGAGTTCGTTTCTTTCAATTGTCAGTACGCATCACATGTGAAATAAGATATTGTTAAAAAAGATATTTAACAAATATTTCTACAAATTGTATTTAATATCGATCGTTATCATGTCTATTTCGCTCAAATTTGATGAAAACCAAACAGACGAAAATATAGACTTAATCACTTTCAAACGTTGGTAAGTTTAAAATTTCTTTTTTCTTATTTTTTAAATATACATACGACGAATAATTTTGAAATAATATTAGGTGCGCAACTAAGTTCTCGCTGTTATTTTGATGGCATTTTTATCAAAATAACAGCGAGAATTTAGTTGCGCACCTAATAATAGACAGATATTAATGATCCTAGAATTAAACTCATATTTTTAGTACGTTGATTTAGCCAAAAGATTTTCCAGCATATTACATGTGCCTTTATAATATAAATTCTTCTTTGTGTATATTTTTATGCGATAATGAAAATTTATGTGTAAAGACTCTTAGTCCGAATTTACAATAGATATTTTAAAACTTAAGCCGTAAGAAATTTACCTGTTACAATCGAATGCAAGGGGAATAATTGACTATGATTCGTCCATTTTTTGTGACTTAAGGTTTAAAAATCTATTGTAGATCTGAGCTTAATCTACGATTGCGAAAGTCAGAAAATTAAAAAAAGTATAAGACATTCGTTTGTGTATTGATTAAAATTCCCAAAAATTTTTGTACTTAAAACAAAATGAACATACGCACATTTGAGCGTTGAAAAGAGAGAACGCGAAGATTGAGAGTAAGAAGTACAAGCAACATCCAAGATTTTAATTCAATTGTTCACGTAGGCATCGAGAACATGCAGACAATAAAAGCAACGTAATACCCGATTAACATTCCTCGCGAAATAAAAAAGTGATGTGATAATTATCATATTTAAATTTATTATACTTTTTACATCTATGAGCATAGGTAAAGCGTATAAGATTTCTTGAGAAATCTTCCTTTCTTCTATTTTTTTTAATTTTATAATATCAAGAAAAGATAGCAGTTTTTTGTCTTTGTAAAACGGCACACAGAATCACGATCGTTAATATTAATTACAAAAAGTGTATCATTATACGATCGAATCTTATGGCCATGGTATACAAGAAAACATGATTAACAAAGCTTGAGCAAAAACCAAATCATAGTTGAAAAATTTCAAAAGAGGACTTAAAAAATTTTAGATTTTTTTTGCTAATTTCTTACAGTTCTTACGTCCGTTCATACGCAATAGTTATCATTCTTTTCACATTTATTTTAGCTCAACCTGCAACTTTTTCAATAAACTAAAATTCCGACAACCATCACTTATTGTTCTTCACACAAAACGAGATACATTAATTACTTTCCGAATTAATCATTTATTTATATTTACGGCAATATATATTTAGTAACAATTGTAATTATTTTTATCTAAGGCTTGGACTGCAATCATGCATCAACTGTAAGAATGGTACTGGCTATATAGATAAAGAATACCATCCGACAAAAGCGGATATTATGTTCAAAAAAAAAATAAAGATGTTGATTGCCAATATTACATATAATGGCATTGCTTTTTTGGTTACTCAAGATGTTGAGGTACATGAACAATTTATATATCGTAATAAAAATTGCCATTTTATATTTTACTAGAATGAATCTTCGCTGAATCTTTTTGATAATTTAAAAATTATATTATAGAGCAGTGTATAAAGTACACAGAATGCAAAAGAAGATTATAATTTTTATCTCTTAATAAACAAAATAGATGGAAATGAAAAAAGACAAATTGTTTTATAAGGTTAATTTTATCTTTATAAAAGTGTCTTTATTAGAAAAAAATAGTAAAACTTATGACATGTATCACTAACTATGTATATATCCTTTATAAAAGCAATAATCCTATAAAGGGAAAATGAGTATATTTTATATATTTTATATATTTACAACGTAATATATATGCCAAATACATTTAATACGTTAATTTTTTATATGTTTGTTATATGTTGTTTTTTATCATGTGCATGTAATAATGTCTTACAATATAAAGTTATAAGAGGTTAAAATTTATTTTTTGCATTTAACGTACAACAAACTTATAGTATCGACAATTTTAAGTAAGTTTACTAAATGTATGATCAACTCTCTATTAATTTTTGGATTACTTTCCCTTATAGAAATTTAATACTAATACTGGTCGCAATTAATCTTTTATTCTGAGTATTAAAAGTATTGTCAACAGCACTTTTAATATTAAAAATAAGTGATTAATTTGCCAGTTTTGGTATTAGATTTCTATAAGAGTTTATATGTATTAAATTATTTTATTTTATGATATAAATTCAATGTAATTAAATTCATTGAATCTAATCCATATAAAGAACGATGCACTGAAATTGAAAATTTTGAATATTTCAATTGTTTTTTATGAAACAAACATTTCATATAAAAATGAAAGAGCAGTTTCCAGAAGAACATATTTTGGTTACGTTAATTTTTTTTAGATAGAAGCACCATAAAGATTTAAAGAACTTTATTTTTTTAAATAAAATTATGATTTTTTAAAAATATAATATGATTGCATAATTGTTCTATATACAAATAAAAATATTAAGCAGATACATCAAAGTTAGATATTTTATACTTTATTCCACATATTAAAAGAATCCTAAGATTTAGTCTTATGAAGAATAAGAAGACTTAGCTGAGTAAATGTTCCAATTAGTGACAATCATGACTGTTTTTCTTAATAAATCAATTAATATAGATCAATGGGTGTTCATTCTAAAAAATGTGTTATTCAAAATTGTATATGTTATCTATTACAATGAATTTTGAATAAAATTAAATGCTTTTGTAAACGCTAAAATATTATAAGCATATTATCAATGATAACAAATCTAACAGATGCTCACTAACATCTTGTAAGGATGGAAGGCAACTATATCGACGGTCTTTTCGTCGAATGATTCTAACTATTATTAATCTAAAAGTAAATAAAAGTAAGCACCCAAAATTAAATAGATATTAAAAACATTGTGAATAATAACTGGAAACGTCACAAAAATACATATTTTAATTAATGCATCACTAATCGGTACTCAAATTTTGTTTGTCTTTATTACTGACAAACAAATATCATATAAAACAATAAAAACGTTCCTATTATTAAATGAAATGTGTAATTTATAAATATCAATTATTATTAAATTAAGAAATAATATTAATAATGTAACTTACAATCTTGCAGAATTTAAAAAATATACAAATATGAGTTCCTAATCTATGAATTGTCTTGCTTAAGTTAGTAATAGGGACACTCATGATTTTGTACCAATTTATGATAGTCGGTGCAGTTCCTAATCTAAGAGACAGCAATATATTTTCATTAGTTAAATTGTTTAATTCCAATATTTTAATCAAATTAACAACATATTGAGTACAAATAGTGGCTATAGATATGATTAAACATAATTTAAATTAAATATAAGATTATTTAACTGGATGTCAGTAATAAAGATGTTTCTTTGTTTATACGACGTGTCAATATTAGGAACGTTGGTGATGTTTACATCACCTATGGATCAATATCCGTTATAAATTGGGACAATTTCGAATACATATGTCATTAAATGGTATAAAAACAACATTTATAAATATGTAAATAAATTAAGAATTCTTAAAAAAATTTTAAAAATTAAGTTATCGTAATCTTTAAATATGTTCAAACTTGCTAAAAAAAATTAATTTCATGTGTACTTATGTGTACTTATTGTGGCATACGTATCGATAATTTATTAATTCTCTTTTGCCACAAGTTACTTTGTCACTAATTGAGACATTTAAATAGGATAAGGAGAAAAAAAGTTAGTCATAGAAAATGTTTATACTGCCAGGTTCGCTGAATGGAATAACATTTTGTCGTCATATTGAACATTCATATAGTAAGTGCAAAAAGTATCAGTACAAAGAAAATGTTTTTTAAAAAAACTTTATTTTTAAAAAGTAAATATTATCCAGTGAGAAATGACTCATCGAATTGATATCGAATCGATATAAATACAATGATTTCAACATCAATTTGATGTCGATTCGATGTTTAATTGACGATCATTTCTTAAATAATTAATAATTTATTCATAAAGAATAAAATGGACTGTATGTTTCTTAAAATTATACCAAAAAGATGTGTAAAATGTATACATAAAAGATGTGTAATTATACAAAATATATCATCCGAAAAATAAGATATCATCTGAAAATTAAAAATTGTATTGTTTGAATGCTCAAAAAGTATGCGTACAAACGAGAAATTTAGCTTCTAAAATTAGAAATATGAAGCTCGTTTGTTTATGTTAAAATAAAATGTATTCATTGTAAAATTGCTAATTAATGTTTATTTTCCACAAAGATTTTTTTTATAAAAAAATAAATTTCCTTGTATGAATACTTTTCATTTTCATTTGCACCTGAATACTTTTACAAACAAAATTATAAAGAGAATCAATTTATGTAAAGAAAACACATAATTGCTTAAAAAAATATGAAGTTAAACAATTAATTTTAGAAATAAGTAATTGCGTTTTCATTACACTAAATGATTCCACGTATTATATTCTGTTCATATAAGTTTTATATGTAGAAGAATTAGAAGAATCATATTATGTAAAAAAATCATGTTATTTTATTTACAGTAGTGGAAATAACCTTCGTATTTTTTTAGCACTCTCACCTAGAAAAAAATATGATTAAAATATGTACTTCTCGAAACAGTTCCAATTTCATTCGAAAAATTTCTTCGTATTAAGGAAAAATGAAATGTTCAAGGATTTCAATTTAAAAAAATAACATCTTGTATAATTAATTTAACTGAATAAATCAATGATCACATTATATTTTTAAAAGAAATATGTATGGGAAGATAAAAATGCAAAAATGACATTCAATTTTGAAGTTCAATCTACAGACAATAAGGTTGAAAATAAAATTGAAATTATGGTAAAACTCTCACACTATATATATTATACTTCCCATAAGATTGATTGGAGCAATACAAGAATTATAAAAGCAGCAACTAATAAGAGTAATTTTCTCGTTTTGACTGACGATGGCAAAGTAAAGTATTACGACGATATCATCATGAATGCATTAGTAAGAATAATTATTAACTTTACTTAGATATATTATATTTATTTAATTTAGATATATTACACAAATGGTTGGATAGAAGGAAAAAAATGCAGTATACATGAAATAAATATCGAAGAGAAGATTACATGCATAAGTTGCGGAATAAATTTTTTTGTGATAATTACCGATAACTATAAAATGTACTGTTGGGGTATATGTGACAACGATCAATTGAGTTTGTGTAGGACTAATAGCAAAATGATAAAAAAGCATAGAAATTTGGATGAGGATTTAACTTTTACCACTTATACTCAATACGACGAAATAGTAAGTTCTGTTGAACGGCCATGTGAAATAACCGCATTTAAAGACAAAATAATTGGTAATTTTCTTTAAAATACATTCCTAAAAGTGTAAAGATGTATACATGAAGAATTTATTGTTGCAAGTATTATAGAATAACCTAATCTTAATGTTTAGTCAAGGTAGCTTGTGGGATTGATTACATACTTGTTCTAAGTAATAAAGGGAAACTCTACGGCTGGGGATCAAACATTTACGATCAATTTAACAAAAGTTACAATACTTCTCCTATCAAGGTAAATGATTTGTTTCTATAATTGTATTATGAGAAATGGGAAAAAAGTAGGAAAACATAAACTAAAGAATAAACCAAAGAATTTTTTGATCAACAGATATACATAAAAAATGTAAAAAAAATATCAGACATCGCTGTCATTGATTACAAAAGCTTTGTCAAGTCTAGCGTGGGACATATCTACATGTGGGGCTTTATTTTTAATGTACCAATTAAAAAATATGTTCCCTGTGAATTTACGAACGCGTTTGACATATTCAACTCGACGACAGCTCTTTCACCAATGTCCATGGCCATGGCATATGAATTCATAAATGAAGAATTACACATATTAAATGATTTGGAAACTGCATTCGACGATCAGGTTAGACTTTATTTTGTGTGTTTATTTGTTTCTCGAATTCAATATTTTCAATGAAGTATTATAAGAATTGCAATACAATTTATTTTTACAATTTAGTTTTGAATCTTTAAAAGATGTCAAAAATTTTCAAACTCTTTCAACTAATGGCATGTTAAAAACCGCAAGCAAGCCATTAATTGCTTACAATCCGAAATTGATTATACTGATTATCATAGTTGTATTTTATCTCCTTGGTAAAGTCTTAGCATATTTTTCAACACCTCTCGTTTCGTGATTTGATATCTTAACTATCAGTACCTACATTTAAAAAAAGTATATATCCTTATCTACCGATAAGGATATTTGTAACCTAGCATTTTCTTTTGCTTATATCTCAGATTGTAGTACATCGATTTTAATTAATTTTTTTTTAATCTATTATTTGAAGACTAAGAAAAAGAAATTTTAATTAGAAAGTCTAAAATGTCATAGCTCAAAAGATATTTTGCAATAAGTGAAAAGGGAAAAAAAATGTCAGATCTATTGAGGGAGTTACGCTTTATAGATACTGAGGGTTAAATGTCTTTCTTTTTATTACATTTTTTCATTGCATAACAAAAGGAAAGATTTGATGATTACATAATACACATGTTCAACTGTAATAATTAATTCGTGTTTCCTGTCTCTAAAGTCAACAAGTGATCTCACGATAATGGTCAAGAAACAATCAATTTATGTTCACAAAGTTATCCTGATAATTCGTTCTACATATTTTAGAAGTGTGCTCCAAACTATTTATGTTGAAAATAGGTATATTTTTACTAAAAAAAAAGTATATTTAAAAAAACCTTTTTTGTTTGATTTGTTTGTAATATTTTAATATATTTTTCTTGACAGCATCATAGTGAATAATTATAGATATGCCGTTTTTAAAAAATTTTTAGAATATTTATATATCGGTCATCTCAATCATCTATCATCTTTTAAAAATCTAATAGGTGAGTTTGAGTTAAACGTACCGAATATTACATATGTAAGTCGCGACTAAAATATCTCTTTGTTGCAGATCTTTTGCAATTGGCAGATGCATTATGCGAGAAAAATCTCCAGATGGATTGTATATCAAAAATAAAGAAAACAATTAATATATCGAACGTCATGTACCTCTTTAACCTTATCAACAATATGAACGAAGGACATCGCAAGGAAGTAACTATTTTTTTGTTTTTATTATGGATTTTTCTTTCTATTATAAGACAAAAATATTGCAGAATTTATAATGGGATTAACATATAAATCCAATTGAGATATGTTTTCCATTTTCTCTTTCTGACCTAGTAAAATATTGTTCCCTTTAAAATTCGCGAATCTTTTACTTTTGAAACAAATGTATATTCCATTCTGAAGCTCAAAGCAGAGACTATTTCGACACCGGAGGAAAATAAAAAAACGCTCTCCTTAGTAAAAAATATTTCTTTATGATGTGAAATATAACACAGTACAACACACATTTCCTGCCGTAAAAAAATCAAAGAGATTCTGAAAGCAGATGTAATAAAAAAAAAATATCCGTGCCTCGGCGTTTTATCAGATCCGTCGTTAACGTTTTTTATACAGTCATTTATCGTATTTGCTTTATATTGACTTTTTACAATTGTTTAAAATTATATAATAATTGTTTTAAATAAACAATTGACGTTTTTGCATGTAAAATTATGCGATGAGTCCGAATACAAAAAAAATAACTTTATTAAAGAATTATTTTTTTTATATATTTCCAAAATTTTTGTATAATAATAATAATACAATTATAATTATAATTATTATAAGAATCTTGGTCATTTGATTTGTCGTTTATATGATTCCGGTTTTGTATCACTAATAATAGACCAACAGTATTCGACAAGCATGTGTCTGATGTCTTTTCCTTTGAAGCGTTTCTCAGTATTCTGAAAATGTTCATCATGTTCATCACTGTGAATTCCCCAAATTTGATGGAAAAAAATCCAAATAGTTGTGAGCAAAGTGTATTTTGAGTGACATGTTAACTTTCATTGTATGAAAAGCTGAAATCATTTTAGCAACAATTTTTTTGTAATTGTCGGCTTTTTTATTGCCCAGAAAATTTTTAGTATCAGTCAGTATTGAGACATGGATATGCTTTCCTAACATCTACTTTCAGAATCTCTTTGAATTTTTTATGGGAGGAAACCTGTGCTGTACAGCATTATAAAAAGACATTTGATGATATTTAAAATGTAACGACTTGATCTGGTAAAAGAACCGAAGAACTGCCGAGACACGGGTACTTTTTTTTACATCTACTTTCAGGATCTCATCGATTTTTTCATGAGAGGAAAAAAATCGATTTTTGTCGTACTGTGTAATAAGAAATATTAATTAATAGTAATCAATAATATATACATATATTAATTAATAGTATGTATTAATATTAATTTAATATAATCACGTGTATAGGAGAGGAGTTATATGCTATAAAATTATATGTATGTTACAAATGAAACAGTTACTAAAATTGCAATAATATTTTTCGTATTTTGATAGATGCGAAATTATCATTTATTATATCAAACTTTATAGAGCCTTTCATTTTTTATTTTCAATTAAAAGATTGTATTTGATAAGGTCCACAGAAAAAAAAATACCATGTGCTGGGGTAAAGATCCAGCTATTCTTATATATTTTGAGTCGCTGAATATGAATCCAACTGAATAAAATAATAGGATAGAATAGGATCATCTAGGGTAAATTTTCAATCTAGAGCGAAAAAATAGGTCAAAAACCTCGAAGTCTTTGCTTTTATTGATATATTCTAAGATCACTGGCAAAAGACTTCTGATTAAACCTAAATCATATGTTTCCCGAGTTGAGAATTATGTGCAAATATAGTGATAAGTGAAAACACCTACAAGTACCTGCTGCTATAGAGGCTGCTGGAGACGATGACAACTGCCCCGAACAACAGCCCCGTGTAGAATGATTCGTTTTCTGATCCACCGTGGTAATGAAGTCTGCGAAGGCGTGCTGCCTTGCAGGGGGGCAATAGGGTCCCATACAGCACAGAAACATTGCAGAAACATTGCAGAATGATTTCACTAAAACATTGCAATATTGCATGGTAGTTGCGAAACGTTGCTAATTCATTGTTGCAAAATTCCAACAATGTTAAGATATCCGCTGTTTGTTTTATATCGCAACAAAATGTTCCAGCAATATTGCAATGTAATGTATTTGGATAAATTTTTTCGAAAACTCTAAAATGAAAATTATTTCTAGACATATATCTCATTATCTTTAATTTTTCTACAAATCGCATTTCTAGTGATATGTACAAAAGCAATTTTTTATGATAAAATATTTCAATAAATATAGTAGAATAGTTGGATCTCCACCCCAGTACATAATACTTTTTTTCTGGTACTAATTTTTCTTGACTTAATGACGACCTTAAATAATTTTTCATTAACTTTAATTTAATGTAGCATCAAGTGGACCATAATTCAAAATTACCGTTAATAAATTAGAATATGTAGGAAATTAAATTGCCATTTTTGCGCTCCCTTTAAAATGTTTACATGAGATAAATGCCTCCCTCGCCACACTCGGTTGAAGCTATCCAGCTGCCAATATTACTTTAGGATATTAGATCAACGCGATGCTACGAATGCTTTAAATAAAACGAATGCTTTTGTCAATTTGTAAAATTCTTTTTTCTAATTAGTCAACCAAACGCTTCAAAGCATTTGTAGTGAGATTTTTAACCGTAGCTTTAGACAGAATACATTAGTTGTAAAACTATATCTTTATATTAGAGTAGAGAGCGCGAAGCTAATTGTGACATTTTTTTTAAGTTATAAATCTTCACACAATTATGATAGACTAATTGTAAATGTTTTAAAACGTTACATGTTCATCTGGCTCAATAACTGAGTACTTATAAATCGTTAATATCTTATAACTAAAAAAAAAAATACGTTCATTTTTTATAAGGATGTGGATCAATATGCCTATGAGGCATGTTGAGCATTCTCGAAGGATAAATTAAACCATGAAGATAATTGTTTAAGAGATTATATATGATTAAAAAACTTGAAAAGAATTATGTGTACATTAATCAAATTTTTATTAATAGTGTAATAATTTGTAATACTCTCTCTTTTTAAATGCTTATTAGATTAAAATTAGAAAATCATTACTCTTTACAATAATAATTAAACGTAAAATATGTATTTAATCGTTAAAATAGAATAAAAAGTATCGATAAAGATAGATTTCATTTGAGCAGCTGAGTTTATAAGAGTCATTACATGGATATTGGGTCCAACAAGCCCCATATTGCTGTTGACTGAAATACTTATTTATAATTGAAAAACCGTAAATAAAATAGCAATTTGAATATTAAAGTTAAAAAATATGATAATAACTTCCAAAAACACATTTGATTGTTATAAATAGCTTTAATTTTTAACACATAGACCAAAAAGAGTACTCATCTAATAATTTTACTTTTGATATACAGAAATAAAAAAGCGCACGTATTTGGCTATTGACAGCCAGACACAGATTATTGTATTAAGGCACAATAATTTCTGTCTTTGTGCTACTTACGCAAACATAGACGTATCCATATATATTTTGATTATTTAGATATTTGCGTTTAATCAACTTGCCCTTATGCGCAACTAGCCCGGCTCTCTCCTACATATTTTTAAATTCACTTATATGTGTAGCTTCTATTTTTTAGGAATTGATGAAATATTGCTTCCACTTCTATTTTAAAAACATGGCGACTGTAATCCAGACAGATTGTTTTGAAGAATTGGATGTTGAAACAAAGACTATGTTAATAGATAAAGGGAACACCTTTTTGTCATCAGAAATTAATAATTCTGGTTATTTAGAAGAATATATTTCTTAGTTTAGAGAAAAAAAGAATATAATGGACTTTGTTCTGCGAAAATGATTTGCTCTCACAATCGTAACCATTATTGCATATGTTATTTAATTAATAAAAAAATGATTAAAAAATGAGTAAATGAATAACAAATAGGAAAAAAATTAATTTAAGGTTGTGAATAAATTATTTTAAATAAATCATGTTGAAATATGTTGAATGTTGTAAATAAAAAATAAATAAATAATAAATAGTGATTACTGAAAATGATAAGATACAATTGTTACATGAATTTTAAGATTTAATGGAGTATTCCTTCACACAAATTCTTGAGAAAATTCTCATCGAACTGCTACGTCAAGTGGTCGAATATTCCATCAAAAATATATCCAGATAACAAAATGTTAGCAGGATGTCATCAGACTGTTAGTAGATTTGATTAGAAGATGTTGGCAGACTGATCATAACTGATGTTTCAGTCTGCTTCTGTTCTGCTGATAGAATCTGTTAATATTCTATGCAAATAAACTGGCAGCAGAAATTAAGCAGAACCTGCTGACAGAATCTGAAATCAGATTGCGAGCCAGAGTCTGTTGACATAATTTGACAGCAGGTTGGCAATAAAAATCGAGTAAATCCTGTACTAAATTCCAGGTATGTCTGGACATAAAATGTATTTGATTATATTTGTACAAATAGGGCTTTACTAAAATTAAATTTAAGGCATAAGGAAACAAGACCGTTTATGTTAAATAATATTACTTTAAAATCCGAAGCATCACTACGGTCTGAGTATTGAGATGTTGAACTAATAATATATTTTCAAACAAGTGAATATAATATGAATGAATATATATATATTAGTTCAACATCTCAATACTCAGACCGTAGTGGCGCTTCGGATTTTAAAGTAATGTAAATTTAAGGCATATTAAAATCAAATTTGGTTATATTTAGGTTACTAATTTTTGGGATTTTCACATAAAAATCTATTTTG